AAAGTTTCATGGCTTTGTCTCTTAATGTTCATTAGATCGACTATACTCACTTTCGTTTCCTCTCTGAAAAAATGTTCATGAAAACTACCTTCCAATTGAACCCAAGTGTGTATCGAATTAGGGGGTAAGGTTGTGAACCATGTAAAAGCATGCTTAGTCAATGAACTTGGAAAATATTTCATTTTTAAATATTCATTGTTCGCTAAATCCCCACATTCGACTACATACCTAGCTATATGTTCGACTGTAGACTCAGTTAATTCTCCCGCAAATTTCGAAAATTTTGGGACTTTTATTCCTCTAGGCAATTCGACTTGGGTCACATAATCTGGGAAGGCTGACACGAAATAAGGATGTTCATTTCGACCTACATCGAATCCATGTCTATTCAGTATCCTTTCTACCATTTGATCTAAGTTATCATTTGGATTTCTATTAGGTCGAACTACATTCTGATGAAAATTTTCATTCCCGCCAAGATTTTCCATCTCATTCAAATTTGCACTCATAGCTCTCGAGGGTGGCCCGTCACCCAATTTATCCCGTATTTTGTTTATTAACTCATACAAAGGAGTCATTATGTTATGCATTTGGGTTGACAACAGGTTGACCATGTCATGATTACTATGGTCCATCTGTTGTCGAAGAGCCATCATAGCTTGGTTACTAATACCCGTAGGTACATAACTACCCGGTCGAATAAGAGAACCTTCCTGACTTGTTCCTACGTGTTGATATGGGTCTTGCATAACGAAACCCATGCCATTTGGTCCAGGATTATATCCCTGTGGGGATGCATTTGCAGATTTGGTCCTAAGAAAGGCACTGGCATTTCGGCATGCACTGGTTGGGTATTTTGCCAATTCTGTGGCATACCCCAGGAGTATTCCCTAGTGACATTTGCTAGTTCCTGAGTAACATTTGTTTGCCTAGCTGTATTTTCGAGCAACACAGGGGAAGATGCTGCCCCCTGGTCACATTAGTCACATTATCGGGGTGCTCTACATCTATGTGATTATTATTGTTCGTATTTGTATCTCTCTGATTATTAGATGTAGACATAGTTCGTCCACTCCTAAGTCTCATGCAACACACATACCTAAAACTAGTCCAGTTATGTTTGACTTAAACGTGTCCTACCGGGCGTGCCAATTTGTTTATGGTAGAATTTGTTTTATGGATTTTTTTACTTGGACTAGCACGAAAACGTTTCAATTTAGATATGTGATATTTCTAAGTTTTATAGTTTTATAAAACGAGACGAGGAGTAGTAGGAAGATTTAGTAATTACTTGTTTCCAAAGATTCTTCAATAATTAACAAGCAATAATTTCCATACATATAAATGCTAAGATGAACAGAATGAATAATTGAGATACTTGCAATATAAATCATGGTTCAACTTGCATAATGTTCCAGAGTTGCAATGTCAATAACTACGTGATTAAAAGAGATAAACTAAGAGGACTATGCTAATTCTACTCCTAAAAAGCAAAAGAAAAGTGGCCGAGAATTAGTCATACCCAAAAACGATTCCTCGCACGAAAGCTATATGCGCAGGCAGAGAGTGCTTCAGATCCTTGTCTTAGTATGAATTTTCCGACCTTCGTAAAAGAGTGTGCCTTTCATACTTATAGAAATCCTCAAGAGCAGTTATTTCTGTGTACACGTATTATGGGCACATAACTGTTGTCCACTAAGCCCATTACGTGGGTTAAAATAAAATCTCTCGTAACCGTCTGCCCCACGTGTTTTTTACCTCTTCGATCCATGTTTTATTAACTGCTTTAAGATAACTACTCAAACTACTTTAAGAAACCTCCAGTAACCTTCTTCATTTATTTTCGAGCACTCCTTTGTTCGATTCGACTAATGTTTTTCGACCCATCTCGCACGTGAACAAATAGGACTGCTGATACGATCCTGGTAAGTGTTCGACCTTTATCTCCCTTTCGAGTAGTTTCATAAATATAGCTTTCGAGTAGCTCTAACAGGGGCAAATAAAGAAGAGCTGTTAATAATTTTAGTTGTAAATTGGTGGCCTATGAGAAGCATGAATCAAAAAAATAAGCAAGTATCAATTTTCAAATATGAATTTGGATACCGTGAATAATTAATGAACCTTCTGGTTCATAACCACGCCCTGCCCTGGTCTCTGTACCTGGCAGTTCCGAGTCCTGACAGTGTTATTGGGTATATTAATTAACAACTTGGTAGCTTGCTATAAAATCATAAAAGAATGAAACACTGATCATTACAATGATCACGAGGTACACAGCTCACAGCAAATTCAGCAATGGAATATATAATTCGTTCTTACCCCATATCCTCAATCGCTTCTCTCTTTGACCGTTTACGTTTTCAATTTCCACACAATTCAACGTACCTATCAAATAAAATTAGCTAAACACGAAGTACATAGGACTTAAAAAAATGGTCTATATAATAAGATGACGGCAATTCATTTTCTAAGATACTTTTATGGCACACTTCCGGCTCTATTCGTTGCCTTCACCTAGGTTCAGCCAATTCCCAGTAATTACATGTGATTAGAGATTTAAACCTGTTCAATTTTTATTAATTTACAGTCGGTATTTTTTATTTATTTATTTATATATGTATATAATCAGTTGTCACGTTATATCGTTATAAATGGTTATAATGAATTTTATCATAGTTCATCTTCTTTAACATTACAATCTAGTGAAAATAAATAACAATATTGTAGAAACACATTTTACAATACATGCTTTAAGATTAAGCCAACTGTTTATTATTTTGCTCGTAATTCATAACTGTGTGAAACTGGTAATAGTCTTTGAAATGGTATTAGCCCAACACGGGCACGAAGTTTCCAATGCCATGTGAACGACGATAATCATAATTTTGTAGCACATGGATTTCTAGATCAGATCATCAAAATTGACTTATAAACTTAATTAAAAAAAAAAAGCAATATAGTTTGTTTATTTGCCTTTTCCGAAGAGATGACGGGATATTGTTTAAAAAATATTTTTGTGGTCGAAATGTAAGAAAAAGTTCATACAGCACTATCAATGCAAGCGACAACTGTACATAAAATATGTCAAAAGTTGGCGTATTTCCCTACCTATCACCGTTCCAATTCCAAGTCGAAAATATTAATGTGTCGTTCCTCATTGTATTTATTCAGGAGAGCGTGATTCCAGTGTGTTACGTATTCTTTTTCGTCCAAAATACCCGTTTTCTGCGTGTATGTTCGGTGCATTATTACTACTTATTAGATCTCTTTTGCGTTAGGAAAATGAATAAATCTTAGTTTTACATCTTGTATATGCAAAAGTACAAAGTGTTGGCACTTTTTATATAACTATTTTCTGTCTTGTATCGATGCTTGTCTTTGACTATGTTTGGAGTCATTCAGTGCCGTAGATTTAATGAGACGGAGAAGATAGTGACTTTTTTTTTTGGTACAATAAGGAAAATAAGAAAAACAGGAAATAAGGCAACACATGCTGAATCACATAAAATTCTTTCAGAGCTTCCAGAGGAGGGATCAGGAGAAGATAGCGACTAAGGCCTGAAGGGAACAACATATATATTTGAAAACTACAAAAAGAAGATGAATGCGCTTGATTAATCAGACTAATTACACGCTTATTTTATTAACTTTTACTACATATATAGGAGTTTATATCTCATAATTTGGTTATGAAATTTGTCAGAAAAAATTATTTAAATTTGTTACACAAAGAACGAAATTGAAAAGAACTCATGAGAGTGATAAACCATCTCATAAGTTCAAATAAGTTTCTGTAAGCTTTTTCAAATGTTCCTTTAATAGAGTATGAATTAACTTTTCCCACCTTTGTACAAATAATTATTCAATGAGTCATAACAACAATCTTTAGACAAATTCATATTTGGTAATACTTGAGGGCCGAGTATATATATATATATATATATATATATTAATTAGATTTAGGATTTAAATAATATCTTTAAGATGATAATTAAAGATTAATTTATATTTATAAACATAATTTTTATTAATTAAATATTATTTTAACACTTATGGGAGTTGTATTACATGTAATGTTAATACCTTGCCTAATATATGATATTTCCTATTGATGCAATGCGAATTATATAAGGAAATAATACTGAGAAAAGACCTTAATTAATTTGCCTTGGCGGCAAGATCTTTCAAATTGTGATCGACGAAAGAAAAATGTTAAGACATGTTCTTAAGGCATTTGTTAAAAACGTAAAAGTGAAAATTGTTATAGAAAATCATCACCAATGCACCTTTCATTATGATTTATAATTCCTTATAATCATCATACTCAGGAACACTTGCGAACATGACCGTTATTTACATTGGTTGTGACAACATATGCATATTGTATTTGTTTTTTCTTTTTGGGGGAGTGTTGTACTTGCATCAAGCTAATTCTACAAGCAAAAAGAGCAATAATTGAAGAAATTTAGGAGATGGATGAGGAAGGGAAAATGAGGGTGGACGAAATTAGTAAGGAAAGGCTGAGGTAATTAGCAATTCCCAGAACACGATGAAAGAAAGCATTAATGGAGTGAGCCGAGAAAAGCGTGAGAAAGCATCCAATCATGGCAAAATGCATGAGCCTCATCAGAAGTTGTCGGCAACAACCATGCATGCATTAAGGTCTCCGCAGTGATCAAATAAAAAATAATGGCCATTTCCGTATACTTTAATTGCATAAGTGGAAGTCAAAAGCCTCCATATGAGGCTTTATTCACAATTTGCAACACCCACGTTAACCCCCTCAATACCTTACATTTACTCCTTATTATATAATTAATTCATCATTCATATATCACCCACATATCGAAGCTAATAAAAGTCACTATTATTATAGTAACACACACCTTTTCTCCTTCCCAAACCTTGGAAACGACCCTTATTAATTCCACCCTCCACCCTCTCTCTCAATTTCCGTGTGTTGACTTTATCGTTTATAACAACTTGTATTAAAACTCGCATTTTCTCTACCACAAATTTCATGACACAACTAAATGTGCCACATCCAGCTACTACTACTACTACTTGCACACAATTCACAAAATTTGACTTCTTATCCCTATTCAACTCTCTACACTCTTCACGTTTCTAGCTATTCCTTCCTGTGACATAATCAAAAGATCAAACCCAACTTTTCTTCCCTTTATTCCTATCCAACACATACTTTGGCTTTGCTTTGGCATATTCCACCCTTTCAAGTTTCAAACATGGATGAAATTGAAATCCCTGCTCATTTTCTCTGCCCCATTTCCCTCCAACTCATGAGAGATCCTGTCACGGTTTGCACAGGAATCACTTATGATAGAGAAAACATAGAAAGATGGTTATTTTCATGCAAGAACAACACTTGCCCGGTTACAAAGCAATGCTTGTTAGACCATGATCTCACTCCAAACCACACTCTAAGAAGGTTGATCCAAGCTTGGTGCACCCTCAATGCCTCACTTGGAATTGAACGCATTCCAACTCCAAAGTCACCAATCGACAGAACTCAGATTGTGAAGCTCATATCCGAAGCAAAGAGGATCCCTGAGAAGCAACTCAAGTGCCTCACAAGGCTTAGATCCATTGCCTTTGAGGGCCACAGAAACAAAACCTGTTTGGAGTCTGCAGGAGTGATAGAATTCTTGGCCTCAACCATGAAGAACAACATCACACAAGAAAACTCAATCGTTTTAAGTGAAGCAGCAATAGAAGTTTTGTTTCACCTCAATCTCTCCGAGGCTAAGCTTAAAGCTCTTGTAAACAACGAGGGCATGCAGTTTGTTGAGTCATTGTTTCATGTGTTGAGGCTTGGAAACTACCAATCTAGAGCTTATGCTACCATGTTACTGAGGTCAGCATTTGAGGTTGCTGATCCAATCCAATTGATCAGTGTGAAAACTTTGTTGTTTGTGGAAATCATGCGTGTGCTGCGTGATAAGATTTCACAACAGGCTTCAAAGGCTGCATTGAAGCTTATTGTGGAGCTTTTCCCGTGGGGAAGAAACAGGATCAAAGGGGTTGAGGGTGGTGCAGTTTTGATCCTCATTGAGCTACTTCTTGATGCATCAGAAAGAAGGGCGTGTGAACTCATCTTGATAGCGTTGGACCAACTTTGTGGCTGTGCAGAAGGGCGTGCTGAGTTGTTGAATCATGCTGCAGGAGTAGCCATTGTGTCAAAGAAAATTCTAAGGGTTTCTCACGTGGCTAGTGACAGAGGGGTTAGGATTTTGGCCTCTATTTGTAGGTATTCTGCCAATGCTAGAGTGCTTCACGAAATGTTGCAGGTTGGTGCTGTGTCCAAGTTGTGTTTGGTGCTTCAAGTTAATTGCGGTTTCAAGACTAAGGAGAGAGCCAAGGAGATACTCAAATTGCACTCTGCAGTTTGGAAGAATTCCCCTTGTATTCCTGTACCTTTGTTATCTTCTTATCCATGATCTAATTTGGTCCAAGTTTGTAAGTCCTTTTTTGTGTACATGCATCTGATGAAAGTATCTGGTGCCAGAGATTTTGGAATTACACATAGTTATGATGGGAAAAAATTCCTCGGATCAATTTTTGTTGAGCATTGTACTGATCTAAACTATAGTACTAATAACTATAACTACATTAGGCTTTATTGTGCTTGTTGTCAATTAGAAATTTCATATTCCTTTATCTGAGCAGATTAAAGGATTGCAAAGAGTTCAAGTTGGGTGGATTCACAGAAATGGAGTTAGATTTTGGTTGATACTGATAGGTTTTGTTAAATAAAATGTCGTTGATTTAAGTATTAGCTTACCTATTACTCTTCGGTGAAGACAAATTAGGAGTATAGACGTATGGTAATCAATTTTTTAAGTAATATACATTGCCATTTCTTTGGAAAGGTTGTATATATATTGTGAAGCCTAGGGATATATGTAGGTATAAGAAAGGGTATCTGGCCTAGAAATTAAAATATTTCCCAAGTAATGCAAGGATGGTAAACGAGTTTAGGCTTTAAGTAATCTTTACTAAAAGCTTGCGTGCAACTTGAGGTATTTTTTTTTATTGGAATTAAATTGGATAACAAGGAATTTATAACATTCACGCATGTTATTCTATCAACTGAAATAGATTATGTGTGTTTGAGTTTAGTTGAACAAAATATCAATCCACCTCTCCTCTTCCCTCTACGTTTGTTGTTTTAGAATGTGAAATTTTATGTTTCAAGAGTTCTAAGTAGATTTTCAAACACACTACAGTGTGTAATTTAAGATAAAAAATAATAATTTATTCTTATTCTATCAATTGAAATAAACTATATAGTATGCAATTTAAAATAAAAGAAAGATAATAATCTAGTCGAACACATTATATTTAGAGTAATTTAATCTAACCCTTACTACTCTCTTATACTGATATTCTAATCAAGAAAAGTATCTCTCAAATATCAAAGTTTGTATGCTAGACATATCCTACTCGAGACATTCATACATTATTAGAATTAGAATATACTTGATATATGATTCATTTAAAAATATATATAATTTTATTTTAAAAAAAAATACTAGGGTGAATTTCTCACTACTTTTTCAATCTAAACAAAATTTAAGTTAAATATATTTTTATTCAATGAACATATCTTGAACTTTGATTTTATAAAAGTTTTATTGACTTTTTAACTCTTATATATATTAAAAGTAACATGATTTTATTTTTTCATTAACTAAGATATTATTACAAAGTATCTACTATTAAAAAAATGATTAATTTTTATCGAAGATTATAAAGACATACAAGATAAGTATTCTCTTTTCAATATAATTTATTTCATATCCAAGATTATGATTTGAATCTTAAATAACTTGATTAAAGGACACAAATCACAGTCGCTTATATAATTTATTGTTACATGATTTTAGTTTCTAGTTAATGATTAAAAACATGTTTTTATGAAATATAAAAATATTTTTATAGGTGCTAAAATAAAAACCGATAATATTTTAAAGAGTAGGGAAATATATTTTACCGATTAAATTAATTCACCTCTTCTAGATCTCACCCTTAGTCTCCGCTCTTTGGTATGTAATGACAAGCTCTGTTTCGTTAATCGGTGTTGAGCAGTTATTCAACATTCAAATTATGTTCGTTGGTCGTAGTTCTTTCGGTGGGCTCCATATCATATATCAACTTCAAACAAACTTGGCAAGAACTAGAGGCAGCCCAATAAATCAGAGCATTCAAACTATTGGGTTTAATTTTTTGTTTTATTTGAAAAGCATATTGAAGACTAAGATATGATTCATGTAATATTTAAAAACTAATAATAAGGATTAATATATGTTCATCAACGAAATTTCTACAGATCAAATATTATTTATTAAAATAATTAATTCAGTGATAATTTATCGGATGCATATTTTAGAAGATGTCTCGTAGTAGAGCCGTTAAAATGGGCGGGGCTCAGGGGCCAACCCGGCTCATCTTGATAACAGGCTGGGCTGGGCCAAAAAAATTAAGATTTTGGCAGATGATAAACACACCTCCACTCTCGTATAAACACACTCCTTTTTTTTAAAAAAATATATAAAATGTCTAAATTACCCTTTAAAAAAATGAAATTCCTAAATTTATACCTCCCTTTCCCGCACCCCCCTTCCCCGCACCAGAACGGGCCGTTCTGCAAGAAGCACGGCCCGTTCTGATTGCAGAACGCCCCGTTCTGATTGCAGAACGCCCCGTTCTGATTGCAGAACGCCCCGTTCTGATTGCAGAACGCCCCGTTCTGCAAGTAGTACAGGTCGTTCTGCTTGCAGTACGGGCCGTACTGAAAGCAATACAGGCCGTTCTGCTTGCAGACAGGCCGTTCTACTTTCAGACGGGTCGTTCTGTTGTAATACAGGCCACCGCGTCACTTTTAAAATGGCTACCTTATGACTGGTTTTAAAACTCCGATTTTAAAAGTCATTTTTGTACTAGTGTGTCTTTCCATAGAACAAGTCAGAGTCTTTCTCTTACAAGACCACCTGCTGACATTGCGCACCCCTCTTCTTTCTCTTTCTGGCACTCCTCTTCTTCTTCTTTTTTTCCCGCACCTCGCACGCCCCTCTTCTTTCTCTTTCTGGCACTCCTCTTCTTCTTCTTCTTACTGTTACGGAAAGTTCTTTCCGAAATTATATAAAAATGTTCCGGAAAATACTTTCCATAATATTAAATTCTTATTCCGGAAAGTATTTTCCGGAAATGTTTTGTTACATAATTCTGGAAAGTACTTTCCATAATATTAAAGTTACTATTACGGAAAGTTCTTTTCGGAATTATATGAACAATAATTTTACTATTCTGGAAAGTACTTTCCGGAATGCTAATGACGGTAAAAGTACTTTCCGGAATTCTAATGACTGTAAAAGAACCTTTCTTATGCTAGTTATGATGGGACTAGTCCTTTTTTTCTATTCAGAATGACTGTAAAAGTATATTGCTTAATGACATTGAGCGGAAAGAGGCTTTGGGAAGAAGAGGTGTGTGGAGTGTAAGATGTGGGAAAACGGGGTGCGGGAAGGAACGTGTAAATTTAGGAATTTCATTTTTTTTAAAAGGGTAATTTAGACATTTTATATATTTTTTTTAAAAAAAGGGGTGTGTTTATACGAGAGTGGAGGTGTGTTTATCATCTGCCTAAGATTTTATAGTAGGTAGGTATATTTCAACCCGGCCCACTTTCACCCGGGCTAAACCCGTGGTGGGCCGGGGTAGCCCACCAACCCACCAATTTTTTTTATAATAAAAATTTAAGTATGATTTGTAGTTAATTTTGTATGATGGGATATTGAAAATTTTTATTTTAAACTTTTATCATGATTTGTATTTAATTTTGTATGATGAGTTATGACTTATGACTATTAATGATACTAATTTTATGACTATTATGTTAATTTATAATTAATTTAAAATTTTGAATTTTTTTAATATATTTTTTTTAATTTTTGGTGGGCTAGTGGGCTGGCTCGTATAACCCACCAACCTATGGTGGGCCGGGCCGGGCCAAACTTTTTTTTTAAAATTAAAAGTAGACCGGATTGGATTGACTTGTTTTTAAAGTGGGTCAAGATGGACCAACCCAAATAAACTGGACTGACCCGTTTTGACAGCTCTATCTCAGAATATATAATGAGTTATTATTAGAGAAAGCGTTAGAGAAATATAAAAAGAAAAAGAAAAATGACGATGCTGCATATAAAGTAGACTAATTGAATGAGAGTTTTATTTATTTATTATTATTTAAGAACATAACCATGAACAAAACTTACACACAACTGTTCTGGGCCTTCTGGCAATGCTTTAAAAACTTGAGATTGGAGAATCGGATTCTAAATTATTGCACTGGCTATGAGAATATATTATATTGGTTATGAGTGAGATTGTGCACGCAAAAAATTAGTGATATATATATATATATATATATATATATATATATCTTTTTATATGTATATCTCTTTTTAAAGAAAAATAAAAAATATTTTTATTTTTTAATTCTTTTGATTTTTATATAACTCTTTCTTTTTTCCTTTCAGTTTTCACACTATTATTCTCTTCCTACTTTTTTCACACTTATTCTAGATGTAGAATTGATTTTCAAGAGTATCATAGGTATGTGTAGCTTCCTCAACAATGTCGAAGGTGTTGAGTCTCAATTTGGTCCCAAACTAATTAATTGGTTTTAATTTGGTCCCTAATAAATTAATTGGTTTCAATATGGAACTTCCGTCCAAATTTATTTAACGGAGTTAACTATTGGCCACGTGGATGCCACCTAGATGCATAGGTGAATGCCACGTGGATGAATTTTTTTTGAAAACACCTGGAACCAGAATGGCCCGTTCTGAAACCAGAACGGGCCGTTCTGGATGCGCTTTTGGTGTGTTAATTTTGCACCGGAAATGGGTCGTTCCAAATGCAAAATTTACACACCAAGAGTACACCAGAACGGTCCGTTCTGAAATCAGAATGGCCCGTTCCAAAACTGAGAATATAATATTATTTATTAATTTTATTAAAAAAATGTAATAATTTTGAAAATTATTTTTTTATGGTAAAAAATTTAAAATTACTTATTTTTATAAAATACAATTGCCTTATAAATAGAGTAATAACTTTTTCTTTTTCTCTTTCTATCTGAAGAAATATTTAAGTGTCACTTTATAATTTTTTGTAACTTATTTAAAATTAGAGGAATAAAATGATAAAAATTAATAGGATAAACATAATAAATTATTAATTTATTTTCTTTTAGTGTCCTCTAAATTTTTACATTCATTTAAAATAAAAATATTTTATATGTTAATTTGAATTAATTTAACGAAGTATTATATGATTTTTAATTTTTTAAAATTTTTTATAAATTTGATCTATACATGAAAAACTTTTTAATTTAACAATTAAATTCTTAAAAATTTGATATAGAACATTAATTATTAAATAGAATAAATCTATCAAGACTTACTATTGAAGTAAGTAAATTTTTTCTTCATTAAAAATGAAAATAATTTTACCACAAAATAAAAAACAATTAAACATTAAAATAAAATTAA